GCCTAAGCACCTAAAACCTTAAGGCGTATCCCAATCCTAAGCCCGATAACCCTATACGATTCGGCCATACGAATCCTCTGTACAGCTGCTTGTGGTGCTATACCCAGCAAGCTTCGGAAATCCAAGGCATGGCGAAGCGATCAGGCGGAGCCGATGCTTCTTGTGGAGGCCGATCGGGCCAGGTTTTTTTTAGTCTTGCTCTTTGCCTTGGGGGCAGGGCTAGCTTTAAGACTCTCAGAGGCATTCTTCTTGGCGTGGGCCATCTGTTGTATCTGTACACTAGCCTCTGCCATAGCAGAGATCTTCGGGCCCAGGGTGCTCACAAAGTCGCACAACTTGGGCAAATATTGATCCTTGTATTCCTTCTTCACTTTCTGCAGCTCCTTAGCAGAAAGCACGGCCACTTTCATGGACTGAAAGAACGGATTATCGGCGTAGAGCTGGAGCACCTGCGCCCGGCAATCCTTGTAGCCTTTCACAAAGCCACTCGCCCAAGCCCACGAAGCGGGATCGCCCTTGCTCATCTCGATCGTGATCGAGCTCATGGTGTTGTCGGATGACTGCTCCTGGGCCAACAGCTCTTTCACCTCCTTCTCTTTCTTCCCAGCCAAGTTCCCATTCCCGCCGCGTGGCTTCTTCTTCTCCGTCTCAGTCGGCGGAGGCTTGTTCTCATCTCCAACCGCACCAGCCCCATCCGGCTCCACCGTCGGCGTGGGCCTCTTAAGGCCACCGTTGGCCCTACCGCCGGCACTGCCGTCACCGCCCGCCTTCGGTTGTGCAGCGGGCACCGTCTCGAATTTGGCCGCCCAACCGGCCACTCCGAGGTCCGACTCCTGCACCTCTTGCAGGGAAACGTCCACAAGCCGTTTGCCATGCTCGGCTGCGAAGCATCGCAGAGCTTTTGATATTTCGACCTTTTCGCTCCACGAATCGGGGATGGTCTCGGTGCATTCCACACTCACACAGCTGGTCCACTCTGCGATGTTGGACGTGCTGATGAGATGCTCCACCCACAAGTAGGTGTCGGCTTTCAGCCACGTGTTGTACAAGACACAATACTCCTGGGGATCACCACAAAAATGAGCTGTAGGCAAGGGCTTTGGGGTTTAGCGGATTAGTGGGTTTAGTGGTTGTTGGGAATTTAGACTCTTTGTTTTCGGACTTAGGGTTTAGGGTTTAGGGTCTATAGTGGTGTTTCAACAAAAGCAACCACCGAATCTAGTCGAGTCTATGGTTTCGGGATTGCGGGGGTTTATGGTTTATGGGTGCTTGAAACCAATCTGATTTCAGGGTTTTGTGGCAGGCCTTCAAATCATCACGTGTGCACATAGCCACGTAATTCTGGGCTTGCTCGCTTGCAATGGGCTGGTCGGTGCCGCCCAAAAGCTGCACCAATTGAAGGTATGTCTTGTATGTTCCAACATCTTCTCGCTTCTTGCGGAAAGTGTTGACCGTAGTCTTCGTCGTCTTCACAAATTGGAAATCTTTGCAGCAAGACCAGGCCCGTCTGAATTCCCCTTTAAAGGAATCGAGCATGAGGGAGTACATGGCTTTTATGTCGGGCTTGTGCTTAAATGCCCTGGTCATTGCCTGCGATGCAGCTCCTCGTGCGGACATGTCCATGTGATCAGTTCCCCAGTACAAAGCTCCTTGCGAAGTTGCCTGAACCATTTCGATCGTCACATGATTCGGATCGAGCTTCGCGTGCGATGCGTAATTTTTGATCGCCGTGGCTTTGGCTTCGGAGGTCATCGGTGGCACCTTGACTTCCGGAGCTGCAGCGGCCGCCGCTTCTGGGGTGGGATCGACTAGGGTTTCCACTAGGGTTTCCCGGGTGTCCATGGGCTCCAAGCCGTGCTCTGGCACAGCCATATCTACGGAAGCCTAAGCCTAGAACTTTCCTGCACCTTGCTTTCTCGAGATAGTAAAGCATTGCATATACAGGATCCAGACAAGCCCTGTATCAATGTGGATCCACCACAGGCATTGGGTCTGCGTGATCGCATAACACAGTATACATATGGCCTAGGTACATGATTCTTGGGTCCCTAACACCTCATCACCCCTCATTGGGGGGCTCATCGGGGATCTAGTTTGATACCTCATTCTCTATGTTGGCTACTTAGACGAGCAGCAGCATGCCTCATATCTGCATGGGGCTCATCACAGGGCTCATCGGGGATCCACTTCGATACCTCATTGTCTACGTTGGCTCTTCGTAGAGCCTCTTGTCAGTCTATCAGCACAATCAGCACTAAATCGATGGTTTGGTACGTTGCTATCGAGGAGTAGGACTTTGGTACGTACATCCAGCACATCAGGCGTTTTGTGGCTTTTGCGAAAGCACAGGAAACTGGTTTTAAAAACCCTTATGGGCTGCTGGAAGAGCTCAGGCCTGCGCACTAGAGCCACCAATGGGTAAATCTAGATCCACCTATGATCGTGTGTATATACGAGCTAGTCTACGATCGATTTTGTGTATATCAATCATATAAACATATATGACTCTCTAGCTTAAATAGTTATAAATATATATTCTATATTGTTCTATAGTGTAATTAATATTCATATATGTACTTAGGGTTTAGGGTTTTGGGTTTTGGGTTTGGGGGTCCAGACCACGGGACGGATCCAAAAAGTAGATCCCCTAATTTGGGACCCTATACTACTATATAAGGGGGTACTTTAAAGGAACACACCTATAGTGGATCTCTTTTTTAGATCCTTCCGGTGGTCTGGGTATAATCACAGAATATACCAATTAATTATAATGTGCATAGCGGGAGGTTCTTATTCTGGATCCAACAATAGCAGATTGCAGCACTGGAACGAGATTCTAGATCCTACCAGGCTGGGCGTAGGTTTCAGGTGGGAGGATTTATCAAATAGTATAGGGTTCGATTTAGGGTTTAGAGGAACTTGGAGACCCTAAAGGCCCGGAAAATACAGGATCCAGTTACTAGAATGCAAGAATAATTACACATAGGGCTCCAATTCTGGATCCAAAAGAACAACTAACTTTAGATCTATAAAAGTATATATATATATATATGTATAAATATATAGTATATGTATATACAGCGTGAATTACAGGATCCAGTTATAGTAGAACACAGGAATGCATAGCAGGAGGTTCTACTTCTAGATCCAACAATAGCAGATTGTAGCACTGGAACGAGATTCTAGATCCTACCAGGCTGGGCATAGGTTTCAGGTGGGAGGATTTTACAAAAACTTATATAGGGTAGCTTTAGGGTTTAGGCTTTGAAGAAACCGCAAGGGCCCGAATAATATCAGGATCCAGTTAATAGAATGCAAAATACATAGAGGGTGGGTTCCAATTCTGGATACAACACTAGAAGAAAGCTACAGGTGGCTCAACCTGAAGCCCGAGCTGTCCACTACCAGGCACTACCACAATAGCTCGATCGCTAATCTAAGGATCGTGGCTCTGCGGCTCTAGCTGGCGTACTGCGAAACGATCGAGCCGATGCGGAGCCTGATGGAAGCGACCACTGCATATCAAGCGGGGCGTGGGAGGATGATTCAGCGGGGCTTCTGGGATCTTAGAGAATTCTTCTACAGCATTGGGCCTCGAGCCCTATGTTTTTTTAGGACAATTATTTAGGATCCAAAATGCACATGTAAAAGAGCATGCCCCAAAAGACCACTAATCCTCATCATGCTCGCATATATGCGAGCCTCGAGCCCTCCGTTATTTTAGGATAAGAACTATATCCCAAATGAACACACATGACCCTAAACCCTAAGCCCGAAACCTTAAACCCCCAAAACCCTGAACCCCTAAACCCTAAAACCCTAAACCCTGCAGTCATCCCAGAAGCCTCGAAGCTCATCCTGCATTACAACTCTAGCAGAATAACATGTCATTCTGCTGCATTACAAATCGGAAGCAAAATCAGCAGGCTGCATGGACGACGGAGACATGTTCTTTGGTGTCAAGTACTAGTATGTTGTACAAGCAACGGACCATATGTATTGCCGGGTTAGGCAGTTAGGGCCACCGTTCTCCGTATAGATATACCTCGGTGACCAGAACTCCGTCCTCGCAGCTGCTGCAGTTCAGCAAAATCACAGGATGCGTCCCAGCCGGCACGGCCACCCAAACTCTAGCATGATGCACAAATAGCAAAAGATGTTAGTGTAGGTACAGATGAACTGCACACAAATCTAGACCCGGAATCACTCTGCCATTCTTCTTCAACTTTAGGCTTGTAGTCTGGCCAGAGCTCAGGTGGACCCACTACTTCATATCATCTTCATTCTCCTCGGCGAGCAACTCAGTCGCAGCCGTGCCAAGGCGAGCGAAGCCTGAGCGAGCAGGGTTTAGGGTGTACAGGATTTAGAGCAGAGGCTTTTCTAGGGGCTTAGGGTAATATAGGGTCCGGAAGATTGGGGTTTCGGGTGTTGTTAGTTCCTTTCGTAAGAATGAGCCCAGGAACCTTCCTGTGCATCCGAAGGCTCTACTGCAGGGTCATCTTCCTGCTCCTCTTCTTCATCCATTTCACCGCCCTCATGATCATTATCATCATCATCACCCTGTGGCGGCTTGTCCTCCACGATCTCGGTCTGCTTGGGCTTCGGGTACTTGATAGGCGACTCTTTCGGCCTGGGAGCGGATATGTATGCATGCATGCATGCATGTGTGTGTGTGTGTAAATAAATAAATAAATATGTGTGTGTATATATATATACATATATATATACATACATACATGTGAGTGTGCATGCGACTCTGTGTGCGTGTGTGTGTGTGT